GGAGATGAATTAAAGCACTTTTGCCTGACATGCAGCAACGCAAACCCAAATCTCAAATGTATCGGAAGTCAAATGTTTACAAATTTCTTTCATCCTTAGGATGACCACTAAATGTACATCCAATTGCAAACAACTCCTCTATCCAGTCTTCAGAGCCAGTACAGCTCTGATTTGATAGCACTCTTCGTCACAGCCTTAAAGGCAACATCAAAACGCAAAAATAGTTGTCAACTTTAAACCTGGGATACTTTGAGCTTTGAGTTTGCGGCTTCAGACCTTTGACATTTCATATTTTATCTCTCCATCTAAAATCTTGTGTATCAATGTGATGTGCAAACAAAAAAACTAAAACATGCAAAGAGATCCTGGCATGTGAAGATCTCAAGAATGTTGAAGGTATCCATTGCTTTTACGAGATGTAACACCAAACAAGAAATTGTCTGGAAGTTTGCCGGAGCTCTGATCATGCCAAAAATCCACTGCTACGTTGTACTGTACATTAGACTCTGAATGTGGGCTCTTCAGGTCCCCTCCTGGCTTGAGGGCAGTCGGCTGGATATTGTTGCAGCATCAATATTTGCAATGCTGGCAGCTTATAGCGGCTCCTGTGTGCCTGAAACGGCCCTGACCTGCTGAACTCTGAACTCTTTATTATGTCCATTCAACATGGACATTTACATCGTTGCTCCACTGGAGTGCGGTGTAGTGAGGCACAATTGACTATGTGAATGAGCGATTCTTCTTTTTTGAGAGGGGTTAGAATACAAAGTTTTGTTTTAAAAAATGAAAATAGGGATGGGGTGCTATTTCTATTCAGTTACTAAGCGACACGGGTTGAGAATGGTACTATTCCCATGGTGTCGACACGCTCACGTAGAGTTGTCTACGGTCAAGTAAAGGATTGATTCCTACGTTCTAGCTATTAAAGGCTAAGTTAATATACACGTGTAAAATTACTATATTGTATGTGTGATATTTGAAAAAGATGTTATTGCATATGCATTATGTCTGTGGATATAGGCATATGTTCTTTTCAGAATGGTTGTACACATTTGTACATTTGTATGAAACAGTTATTGGTCTGTATATATATAAGAAAGAGATTTTTATTGCCTAAGATGGAATATATTCTAAACATCTTACTTACTGCAGAATGGACATTGTGGACCAGTGTTCTATTGTGATGCTTATAAGTGTATTTGATTGTCATACAAATGCATTTATATTAAAGTGCACTTAATGCGACTGATGCACTTGTGTCGTCATAGTCAAGCCCCTTGTTCCTCCCTCAGCCTCATCATCATCATTAGCATCATCCCACCAACCCGGCCTCTTTTCCTCTCCCTCCCATACACTCTCCTCCATTTCTTCCCCTGGAGCGAGTTTCGCTCAGCAACAGCACTGACGCACACACATGACGAGACAGAATGAGACACTATCTGACTCAGACTGACGCACACTTGGCATCGAGGTTTTTGCGTGCGAGGATGTGCACACAGGCACACACAGTTGGCCTCCCACTTATGATGATGTGCACACACACACACACACACACACATATATTAGGCATATAAACCCCCCCCTTTACAAATCACAGTAGCCCACTCGACGAACCTGCGACTCCATCAGCACTCGCCGTGGCGTAAGACTCCATATATAGGCATTCCTGCTCAAGAGCCCAGATTGAAACAGCCCCCCATCTATTCTCAGCCTCCATTCAGAAGGATCAGAGAGGGGAGGGCTGGAGAGAGGGGGGAGACAAAGAAAGACTGAGGAGAGGCTAAAATTAGAGGTACAGTAAAGAGGGATGTGGGACAAACTGATGCTCTGTCGCCACAGGATGGAAAGGTGAACATTAACAAAATCAGAGAAAAATACATAGATAACCCATTGTGAGGCCTAATATAATATATTTTCTGCCAGATCTCATCACCAGTGCCACATAATAGATAATACTGAAATTATTATATATAATGAGACAAAGCCAGAAACATTGTACTGTTTTTCTGCCAGTGAACATTTTGTTCCTCGCTGCTGCAGTGTCTGTGATGGAGTGCAGATGAGCAGTGGAAGCACTGCACAGCTGACTGCTGCTCTCTCCTGGCAAAGATGAGTACATCGCCAGAGAGGAGCATTATGTGAAAAGCCATGTTAGGAAAAGGCTTTTCACACGCCAGTTCTAAGGACAGTTTAGATTTCATGTTCGCTGGTCCAAATAACATCACACTATTCAATAAATATACATTCTATTTCTCTCACATTTTGTTCACAAATCTGTCAAAATCTGTTCTAGTGAGCACTTCTCAGACAGCATGGGTATTGCACATGTGTGGCTTAGGGTGGCCACAATGTGCAATATATATATATATATATATATATATATATATACACACACACACACACACATATTTATACACATACACACTGCAAATACAAGAGCCATACCGGCTCGGAGGTCGCCCGGGTCAACAAGGTCCGCGTCAGGTGTTAGGGAACCAGGGCAACCTGATGACAAGTGGGCTACTGGAACAAGACATTCATGGACTAGAGCAGAAAATATGAATGTGATGCAATGCTACTATACAAGCAATCTCGGTGAGAGGGGTTATATGCAGAGACTATGGGATATATGGATGCTTCAAAACCCATCATCAACACTGACAAAGAAACAACTCCTAGCACAGTGTTCTAATATCCGCAAACGGCAGCTCCTATCACAACTAGAGATTGATGAGGTACAACAAATATGCTACGGCAAGAGGAAACCAGGACGACAAGTCATCGGGGAGATGTCATCATCATACCCACACTCAGAGATTGGGTCCCAAGCCCCAATAACAACAAGCCCTTACGGTACAGAATCACTCAACATAAGGGCGCCTGACCTACGATTGAAGATCATAACTACATCATCAATAAATATTAATGAGCCTGTTGCAGAAGCAGTCATGACATCACCTCCACCATGCTTCACAGATGAGCTTGTATGCTTCGGATCATAAGCGGTTCCTTTCTTTCTCCACACTTTGGCCTTTCCATCACTTCGGTAGAGATTAATGTTGGTCTCATCAGTCCATAAGATTGTGTTGAAGAACTTTTGCGGCTCATCTCTGTACTTCTTGCAAATTTCAATCTGGCCTTCCGATTCTTACTGCTGATGAGTGGTTTGTATCTTGTGGTGTGGCCTCTATATATCTGCTCTCTGAGTCTTCTTCAAACAGTGGATTGTGATACCTTCAACCCTGCACTGTGGAGGTCGGTGATGTTTTGGGGGTTTTCTTCACAGCTCTCACGATATTTCTGTCATCAACTACTGTTGTTTTCCTTGGCTGACCTGTTCAACGTCTGTTGCTCAGTACACCAGTAGTTTCTTTCTTTTTCAGGACAGTCCAAATTGTTGTACTTGCTATGCCCAATGTTTGTCCAATGGCTCTGGTTGATCTTCCTTCTTTTCTCAGCTTGACAATGGCTTGCTTTTCTCCCATAGACAGCTCTCTGGTCTTCATGTTGGTTTATATATGTGTATATATGTGTATATATAAATATATGTGTGCATATACACACACACACACATATATATATATATATATACACACACAGGTTAAAAGTGACCTAAAACAATACTCAGATGCTTACTGTTAAGAGTTATTGGTTGCTGAAAATAAATTCTCTCTTTGTATTTCCCCAGACAGTGTTTATTTTCTGAGCTGTGGAGGAGGAATAATTCCACAAAAGACGGAAATTTGCACTCAACAAATGGCTGCATTAATGTAACACTTTTACCCAAATGTGCCACTTGTTCACCCATTCACACAGAAACTGATGGCAACAAGCTCATGACCATCTTCGGACAGGAGGAGCTTGGAATTAAACTACCAAGTTTGTGATTAATGGACAACCTCCTCCATGTCATGTGCCACAGGCTGTAATGTTCGATGATACTCAGTTTCAGACGAATTTCAGAAGTTTGCACAGAACAAGGACAGTGTCCCCCACCACAATCACTTTAGGAAGGGATTTCTTCAACACCAGTAAGGACAGAAGCAACAATTTCAGCAGTTACAGAAATAATTAAACCGATATTAAAGGCAATTAACTGTGTTGCATTTAGGGGTACAACTAATGATTATCATTCTTCAGTCAATTACCTTTCTGATTTTTCCATTAATTTCTTTATTTAAATGTGACAAAATAGGGAAAATGCCCAACAAAAGATCTCACAGTCCAAAGTGAAATCTCCAAATTTCTTGTTTTGTCCCAAATCCAAAACTTAAATGATATTAAACAGAAAAACAGCACATTTTCACATTTGAGAAGCTGTAAACAGTTATTTGTGGTATTTTTGCATTTCCATTTTTGATAAAATACTTAACTGGTTCTAAAAATGGCTGACAATGATTTCAGTCTATAGAGTTATTAATTCATTGTTTCAGCACTATCTTTATGCATTACATTACAAAGTGTAAAGCAAAACTTTAGTAAAGTATTGGTACATGGCTTACTTGGAGGCTTCTCAGATTTTTGCATATAACATGACAATCATTTATGTTCTTGCATAAATGTAAATCTAATCATGTCATTATAATTCCAGCTAAAGTCAATAAGCAATAATAGAGTTATCGCACCATCTGATTTTTGCAATAATTCATGTGATGAACCCTTCAGATCACAGATTGATGGTGAAATGTACATAAAACAATCTGCACAACCTGACAAAAAGCCAAATCCCTCCCAGAAGTGTTAATAATAGATAACAACATCAAAGAGACTGCATGTACAAATCCTTCCAAGACAAAGCAATTATATATTCATTAGCTCAGCTCAGAGGAAATGAAACACTCAGGGTTGCAAATATTTTCAAAATTGAAGTGGATGTTTTTGTTGCCAAAAATTAAGGGAAGTAAAAAGCTCTTATATCATTCTAAAATACTGAAACCAAACAATCTGCAGTAAAGATGTGTCTTAATATCAAATGTGAATAAGGAGAAATGAGAAGAAACACATATCACATAACTGTTTATTAATATTGGACACACAACATTAACAGTGTTTTGGTATAAATGTGGCTCATGAATAGAGTCAATAAAAACAGTAATGGGGGGTAATAATGGATACTACAGGTCTTCATTTCTTTTTGCCCGACAAAGCTTCAGCTGCAGCAGCTGCGGCTGCAGCTGCATCAGCTTTCAACTTCTCCTCTCTCTGCTCCAAGAAGATTTTGTACTCATCAGCTGAGAGACTGAAGAGGAGGAGGGAGAAAAAGAAGGAAAAATAATATACAGTTACCCCAAACACAGACTTAATGTTACAAAATCAAAAAACAGTAAAAACTACACAGACATAATGTTAAAAATGGGGTTTCTTTGCATCGCTGCGTCATTTTGTGGTTTGTTGATTTGATATTTAACACAACTGCACTGCATATGCGTATGATAAACACCAAATCAAGATGCTTTCAGCAGAGATGATGATATTTAATAGCATCAACTCCTTAAGCTATCTGCGACATTAAATTTACACATTGTTTTTGGCATCAGTCATCGAGAACCAAGCAGCAATCTCTTCTTTCGACTCACCACAGTGCAGCAGTGTTCAACAACCACCCAGCGAGAAATCCATTGTAAAAGAGGAAGAGATACCAATTTTTTCACGGACAGAACTCTCAATAAATCATAATGCTTTGCAGCAGCAAAAAATGGTAAGGTTTTCAGTAATGGGGAGAGAAGTATTTTGGGAAAAGAACAATGGCATTAACTGAAGTAGAAATAGATGTGGCAATTTGAGGGAATTAGTTTGTGCAAGAATACAGAACTTAAACAGTTTGTGGTAAAATAACTGCTATGCACGTAATAAATGATAAATATCGTTAACACAGGTGGACAGGTGGTAAGCAAGAAAGTTGGTTGGGGTGGAGGGTGGGATGTCAAATCTGTAAAATCTAAAGTATTCTGACACAAAATCAGGATTGTGCTTGCTTATAGCATTCAATGTTTGTGTCCCAATTCAATACACCACACTGACAGTATACAGAACATACTACATACTGTGTCTATATATTGTTTTATATATCTTACAAAATAACAGCAACAAATAAATAATTTAAAAAGGGGGGTAAGTTTTTATCTGGAGTGTTCATGAAGCTGTTTTAACATCATCTACAATTTGTTTCATTTTTGTGCTGCAGCTCCTTCCATTGTGGTGGAGTCCATCAACAATACACTGAAAAATGTTTATTAATTTATTCTTTTTATTATGCATACTGACTTCTTGGAGTATACTGTCACTTCACCAGTGTGAACACACTGCATACCTGTTTAACTTTATGTGAATCAGGAAGTTAGTGTTTTTTTGGCATTTATGCCTTTATGGGATAGTTCACAGTATAGGTACAGACAAGAAACATGGCAGAGAGGTGGGGAACAAAGGTGCAGCAGGATGCTCAGACAGAGTTGTTGATTTAACTCTATTTTTGAGACTGCAGACTACTGTTGTTGTACTGGACTGCTTGTTATTGTCAAGTGCTCATGTTGTTATTCATGTTATTTTGTATAAGGAGAGAGGGGCTACAAACAATAAGTGAACATTCATCTGTCTGTGGTTAAAGCTGTAGCTTATGGTACAGCTGTAATACAGTACACCATACTGTGTTGTATAATGCAGAGTATCTTATTAAACCAAGTGGCAAATTACATCATTACAGCAGCCAAAACACATCAGTCGCAAAAATGAAAACTAAACGAGGACTACAGATAATATTAGGTACATTAGTACAATAAGTTCCATACTGTATAATGATGTTAAGTATTAGTATGGCAAGGTACTGCATTGAAACTACAAAGATTAATAGAGAAATTGGCTGTCCAATGAATATACTCATGGATGAATTACTTTTTTAAAATCCTAAACACCTGTTTAAGTTTTCAAGGCTGCTCTGAAACACTAAAATTTCTTTTCTAATTGCTCACTGTAGCCTAAATATGCACTGTGAAGCTCTATAACATAGGAAGAAATTAACATACATCTAACAAAGATAAATATTAAGTGTGACTTGGTATGGAAAGATACTCAATATTAAAAAGGACAAGAGGTTCTTTACAAACCACTCCGCTCCTCAAAAGTATCCCAACTTTTGACTTTACAACAATCTTTGCTGCAGGGTCATTTCATTGATTTGCATCTGATACTGAAGCTACTGTAGGTATGTTATTGCGGCCGCTGTGGTCACTTTACTGTTTTCTTATCTGACCTCTAGTGGCCGTTAGCAGGTATTGCAGCATCTGCAGATGACACCAGGATCCTTCAGTTGCTGCTTTTTTGCCACTCTGCAGGAATGTGTGTGAAGATTTACATTTGTGACAACGTGTGTCCTAGTTCATTTAAAGAACATTTAATGAATTATATAAAAGGACACGACCAGCACTGCACTTCTGACAGCACTGCTTGTGTGCACACAGGTCTGGTTTATGTTATCTCAGGTCAATATGATGAAACTTTAAGTGCACCGAGCACAGACTCAGGACTTACTCGTTGACAACCTTGATGCCAAGCGAATGGGCCGAGCCGATGATGCATTTGACGACGGTCTCAAGGGAGGCGTTCCTCATTTTGAAGCACTCATCCTGGACTTTCACCTGGGCAATCTCATATACTGCCCTTACAGACACCATACCCGCTGTCTCGTGGCCTTCACACACATAAAAGAGATTTCAAATTGTAAATAAATTCATTCTATAAATGTACAAAACAGGACAAGGTGGGTGCAGCATGTGTGTGTGTGTGTGTGTGTCAGAGATGGTAAAGGGGTGGTACCAGGCTGGAACTTGGAGCATGAAAGGTGGAATTACATAATTCTCCTAACACACCAGCTTTGCCACTTCTTTCCTCTGCTGTAGTTCTTACGCATGTCATGAATATAACATCAATCACAGCAAAGCTCAAAACTGAGCCCAGGGAGAGATGTGTGTTCGTTACAGGATGGGCTCAGTGGGTGAAAACTGGAGTGAGAGCAGATACATCTGTGCAGCAGCACATCTCACCTGTCTTGCCGGCCCCTTTTGCAATGCCCGCTGCTTGCTTGAGGAAGTAAGACACAGTGGGCTGGCCGATCTTTATGTCATAGGTTCTGTCAGGCTGAGGAGACAGAAGTATTCAAATTAAAACCTGTGATCAAAGGCGGGAATGTGAACATGAAATTTTCATGGAACAATAATCTGATTCAGAAACTGGCTACAGCCAGGATTTTATAAATGCCGAGCACATAATTCCCTCAGCGCAACACCACCACCCCTAAGAAATATATGCTTAGACACCAGAAGTCTATAAAACATAATTTTTTTCACATTTATTCACTAATTTAAATTAATGGTCCTTAGTTGCTGTTGCTACACATGCTAAATGTTCCTTTTGCACACATGCGGTTCACAATGATAACGATGGCAGATTGTGATTTAAATTCATTTTAATTTCTGGAACAATGGGCCCTTGATTTCAGAAAGTGGTAGATAAAAGCAGGCTCATCATTTCTAGCTGTTGGCCGTCGGTTTCTATCTTTTAGCTAATTAAGATAAAGTTAGCTAGCTCTATGACTTTGAAAAAGCCTGTGGCCCACTTTTTAATGTTTCTAGCTGACTTTTTGAAACTAGAGTCTTGGAAAAGAGGTCTTACAAACGCACTTGATGGCTAAATGATATGATTGAAGACTGAGGCTAAAGCTGCATTTTTCCTCACCAGCTGATGATCTATGTAGAAAACTGCAGTGTAGAGCTAGTTAGTCCTACATTAGTCTATGCATAGGATGAAGATAAATGCAATATCAGCCTGTTATTTATTATAATGCCACAAAATAATGTCATGGCCCTGGAAGAAAAGCTGACTCAGGCTACCACTGTAGGTAGTAAACTAGGCAGCTTACGTTAGATTATACAAACGCAATGTTAAGTGATTTCCGTACAATTTTCCCCGTGTTTTTAATTTTAAACTGATTAAATGCTGATTATCGCTCTTACAGCCCCATATACACCACGTCATCATATGGAGGAATCCATAGCTTGACAGGCCTGCTGTGACTGGTAAAGGTTACTTCGCTGTAACTGGACAATCAATTCGACAATTTTACCTACAAACATGATTTGTAGGTAAAATGTTTTGTTTAAGGCTGCTTTGAAACAGTGACCCAAGTGCAGTTGGTCTTCTGGTGGAGAAATACTAGACACATTTGATTTTAGTTGTATGACCGTATTCATTTATTTTATACCCCCCACACCAACTATAATGTAGAAAGCAGCTGTATGTTGTCATCTCTCTCAGTCCCTCATATCCTGTTTCTTTTCATCTGTCTTATCTGAAAATGAAGGCAAGAAGGCTAAAATTTCAAAAAAGAAAGCAACAGAATTAGCCTTCAGAATGCACCATGTGTTATTTCTGTGTAAATGCAAAAGTGATTAAACCTCAATATTCCCAGAAACAATACTGAAAATGAGTCCTTGGTGTCCTCAATAGTAACTACGGCCCTGACAAAAAATTCAATGTTTCAGTTTATGACATGATAATAACTGAAATGAATAAAGCACATTTTAATCATGTTTTAATGTGATAAATATTTTACTAAGGAAGAGCACAGACATGAGTAATTTAGTTTCCCTGCGTTTTGAAACATTTTCAGCAGGTTGTAATTCAAGTTCAAAACTAGTTCTACAAACTGTAGCGTCAATCTACTATTCAAGCTTCAAGGCACAATGCTATGTTAAACTGAAAAAAGTTAAAAGACCCTCAAATTGAGGATACATGATTAAAGCTAAGATGAACGAGTTTTAGGGGGCAAGCATTCTCTCATCTACAGTATTTATGAAACCAGTGAGTCAGGAGTACCTGATATTTCTTTCATCCCTCTCCGATTCAAGTAGTGCTTCATTCGTTTTTTTTCTTACCTTGGGGCTAATTGCTTACTGTGTGTTCAGTGCAATAGTTACTGTTACAGAAACTAAAAGTATACTATGAAGAACCTGTATATTTAAATCAAGAATATTAGATATGTCGGTTACTTTCCCCATCTCTAAACAAAAAAGTTTATCACTTTGCATTTTCTCGTAACGGTTTTTATTCATATGAGACTATAATTTAAACCTGCATTAAAGGGGCATTATGGAGTTTTCAGTGGCCACTTGTGGTGCATCTTTAAGATTGCAACCAGGCGTGTGCTCGTACATGTGCTCGCTTGAACTCATGAGAAAGCATAATCTGAACCACAACCGCTTTCATAAAGAGATCCCACAATTGATCCTTCGCTAAGCCACGCCCCCCCTTAGTTACTGTTGCTAAGTCAGACAAACTGTCGGGAACTAACAGACTTTTATCACGGCGCTGCCACTGTCTTTTACTGCACTCCCCGGAGAAATATTGTCTAATTTTTGGAAAAAACGATCTCAGAAAGAAGCAGACAGTTGCATTGTGCATTTGAAGATTATATTCAGGCTGTCAAACTGACTCAAAATGATGTGAAAAAAAAATAATGATACAAGCTAAAGCCTACCGATCAAAGAGTCAAAGTGAACCACAGTATCACCTGACTACAATATTAAGGATCGACATTGTTCCTGTACAGCTGGATAGGTCTCTATTCACTATTACAGTCATTAAAAAGCAGAACAGTAGGGTTTTATAACGTTACATTCAGTAGGAAGTTAGCTAGCGTTAACTAACTAACAAACATTAGGAACAATCCACAGCCTACATTTTTCTGGATTTGTATTAGGTTTTGGAAAGAGAATAAATCGTACTTCTATCAACGTCTCTGGGCGGCGAAAGTAATTATTACGTGCTATAAGTATAAGTGCCCCAGGAACAGCTTTTGACCATATCTTGGAAAAATACGCCAGAAGAGAGGTAGAAAACGACTCCTTTTGCATTAGTCAATGGAGGGCAACCACGAAAGTGTTGGACCTCAGTTAGAGCGAGTCCTATACTGCGCTGTCATTGGCCAGCCGCGTGTTCGAGGCATGGCTTAGCGAAGGGTCCATAAATGCAGACATGTTCAGGCTCTGTTACTTCAATGTTCCCAGCTCATTCAGCGCAGCAAACTGCACAATACTCCAAGGAAAAAGGCAGTGACAGCGGCTATAGACGGACAGGGAGACAGCTTCACACAACATGCTAGAAACTCAGGTAAAGTCCCACTGCAACGTTACAGTAATATTTTATCAGCTTGAGGTTGAGCTAATCCATGCTCGTTACATCTACTGTGCTACATCGTTAGCTCGCCTACTGCTTTTCAGTAACAACATTACTATCTGTAAATCTTTCACCGGAGGCTCAGAAATGTCAACACAGCTAAATGTACTGGATGATAATGAAACTGTTAGTGAGCTGAATATTATAACGAGATTTTGTCCACACTTTATAACAGTTAGACCGCAGTAAGTAACTTTACTGTAAAGTTAGTGGATGGGTCTTCCTCTGTGTTGTCGCTGTTTTGTTGCAGGAGCCTATTGAATATTATGTGGGTCATGTTAGTTACAGCGACTGAAAGGTAGAGAAGCGGTATACCTGAGTATTGGTAAAACCACAATAAATCTATATTGAATGTTACGAAGCAAACAGTGGCAGGTCCGAGCTAATGTAGCGTTAGCTGGCTGCCCTGCCTGACATCACTATAGGTTAGTAAACAAATCACTCTGCATTGGGCTTCATCACATAAACCTTTATTGTTGTTTTTATCCTTACATGGAGTTTATGTTGGAGTTGGTGTTGTGCTGGAAGCCTGTTTTGTGGTGTTAGCGCACAGGGCTATATCCCGACCCAGTGCCTGTACCATGAAGCAGGATTTGAGCTTATTGAGGAAACTTCGGGGTGAACCCTGGGTTGTTAGTGCCACGACGGTGGTTCAACTTCTTACTGGGGTAGATCTCCATGGTAACTTATGCTGAACGGCTAACCTGCTCCGGAGCAGGTTATGTTCCAGATAAGAGATCAACTCTATGAAAACGCCGCCAACTGACCAATCAGCTATCTTGGAAAATCACCATCTGTAGGAAATCCCACAGACTGTTTTATAGGCTGCTTTATGTTTGCTGTGGTGATGAGACACTCTTGTCTATAGTGATATTGTAGGCCTACAGGTTTTTACAGTAAGCCTACTAACTTCTTTGAAATGTGTTTAATATTTTTTATTTGCTCCCCAGCCTGTCGCAGATGTTAAAATAAATGGGTTTTATTTTTCTTATGTGAGGCTGAATATTATGAGCAGTTTGGTAGGGCTATTGAAATACTAAATTTTAATATGAACGTAGGCTATGTTGGACTTGTTCAAGTCTATTGGTCATCTGCTGCTAACACCGCCTCTTTTATGTGAACGCGCTCACAGCTGGATTGGGCAACCCTGGGTTGAGTTACCGAGTTGATAACCAGCTTCGTGGTACCGCTTATCCTGATCGCGATTGTTTTGAGGCTACAGCCCATTGACAAAGCAGTGAAAATTTGATTTATAAAAAAAATAAAATAGAAACTGTGTTACATCGTTAAGACTACATATAGGGGTTGGACAATGAAACTGAGACGCCTCTCATTTTAGTGTGGGAGGTTTCATGGCTAAATTGGACCAGCCTGGTGGCCAATCTTCATTAATTGCACATTGAACCAATAAGAGCAGACTGTGAAGGTCCAATTAGCAGGGTAAGAGCAGAGTTTTGCTCAAAATATTGCAATGCACACAACATTATGGGTGACATACCAGAGTTCAAAAGAGGACAAATTGTTGGTGCACGTCTTGCTGGCGCATCTGTGACCAAGACAGCAAGTCTTTGTGATGTATCAAGAGCCACAGTATCCAGGGTAATGTCAGCATACCACCAAGAAGGACGAACCACATCCAACAGGATTAACTGTGGACGCAAGAGGAAGCTGTCTGAAAGGGATGTTCGGGTGCTAACCCGGATTGTATCCAAAAAACATAAAACCACGGCTGCCCAAATCACGGCAGAATTAAATGTGCACCTCAACTCTCCTGTTTCCACCAAAACTGTCCGTCGGGAGCTCCACAGGGTCAATATACACGGCCGGGCTGCTATAGCCAAACCTTTGGTCCCTCGTGCCAATGCCAAACGTCGGTTTCAATGGTGCAAGGAGCGCAAATCTTG